CCACTCAGAAAAAGATCAAATCTGGAGATCCTGGATAGAGTGGGAGGGAAAACATTGAACAAAATCCAAAAACTCAATAATGACCAGAATTACTGGTCAGATGGAGTCTGATGAGAACCCCAATAATATGGCTCTGGAATACATTCTGCACCTGGAATAAAACTCACTCTCAGGGACTGGCTCTCAGCCCAATAGTTAACAAGATGTACATACAGACCACTCAACCCAGGATGATGTACCCACATACTCTATGGTAATATATCCCTTAGAGCAATAGACCACGGGACACCAGAGGATCAACATTCAAGTTGAGGAAATGCAGGACAAACAGGATTGTATAAATATGAGGGGCACAGGGGGAGGGTTACTGGGTAGGGAGGGAAGGAGACTGGGTTAGGGTTGGACATGGTAAATGGAGAGTGAAACAAAATGAAACTAAATGTACACATAATTATTGTTTTACGTTAAATGTAAAACAAGCTCTTAAAAAATAAATAAAACTCTGTGTTAATTTACATTTTGAACCTTCTAATGTGCTCAAGTCAGAATTGTCATTATTACACAATTACAATGATGCTTCTAATCATGTAGCTCCATCTGCATGCACTACAAGCACACATTATTATTTTTGTTGATACAGGTGTTTTTATAGTCACTGATTTTGTCAAGTTTTCTGGTGTTTTAGCTACAATATTATGATAAGGAATATTTTTGACCCTATATCAATAACTTTTTTGAGAATGAAGTAATAATTAAAGGAAAAGAACGTGAAAAATAACCAAAATTTCTGATGAGTTACAAATAATGTTCTAGCTAATTATGTCACAACTCAGTGACTCAGATTTCACAGAAAAATTTTGTTAGTATTCATATAACCCAAGATATATTATATTTTAGCAATTTACAACTATATTTTGCACATATTACTCTATGGTTAAAAGTGATAATAAATATTACCAAGAATTCTCTACAGAGGAGGGTGGCATGGGGTGACACCATATGTTACTGCACTGGGTGACACCAATCCTAATGATGCCACTGTCTGTTTATCTCACCTCTCTGTACCCAGCTCCCAACTCCATGCCTTAAACCCAGTAGATTTTTTTTTTCTTTTAATTGTGATTTGGGTGAAGATTTACAGAGCAAATTCACTTTCCATACAGCAGTTCACAAATACTTTGTCTCATGACATTGACTACAGTTTACCACAATACAACAGCTCCCCTTCCACTCCCTCCCCATAGTTACCTCTTCCCTGTGTGCATCCCTCCATGGACTCCTGCCCCCTGAACTGTCTCCCTGTGCATAGGCAGCCTTTCTTTCTCAATGATTGTTCTCTCCAAGGAGTGTATCTACTTCAGGTAAATGTTCAACACATATGCCTGTCTTTTGTTTGGCTGGAAACCACAGGTGTGGGTTCAATTCCAGACCTGAAGGGCAGTTAGGGGCCATAAGCTCAGTGGTTCCACCAGGCTTTATCGGACCAGCAAACCTAAACCCAGTAGATTATTGATAAACATTTTAGAATGAAGAAATAATGAAAAGGTAAATAAAATTACTGAATTAAATTTGCTATCACCTGGCATTTGGCTCATCATCTCTCTGTTTTTTCATATTAATGGGCGTCCAGGCTTAAATCCATTTACCAGAGCCGTACCATCTTGGGACAAAGCAGCCTGGCAAAGAAGAGAGTTTATGTATATGTTTGTAAAACTCATTAACAACCTGTAATATACAGAGGACACAAACTTTCTTGCTGAAAGCAAAGACTTGAAGCACTTGCTGATAAAGATCAAAGACTCCTGCCTTCAGTATGGATTATATCTCAGCATAAAGAAAACAAAAACCCTCACAACTGCACCAACAAGCTACATCATGATAAAAGGGAAGGAATTAACTTGTCAACAACTTCATTTTTATTTGGTCCAGAATCAACAGCCATGGAAGCAGCAGTCAAGAAATCAAGTCATGTATTGTATAGGGCAAATATGCTGCAAAAGATCTCTTTAGTGTCAAAAAGCAAAGATGTCACTTTGAGGAGTAAGGTGAGCCTGACCCAAGCCATGATATTTTCAATTGCCTCATGCATGTGGAAGCTGGAAAATGAGTGAAGAAGACCAAAGAAGAATTGATGTGCTTCAATTATAGTGTTGGCAAAGAATAGTGAATATACCATGAA